ACGATATCGAAAAGTTATAAAGTGGCTTGTTGGGTTTCTAAATCTCCTCAACAAATTAGTCATGTTCATGATGTATTCGAGATGTATTTGACATTATTTTTGAGCTATATGATGACGATATCATTGGATGATTAGTTATTATTTACCAATATCCTATTAATGGACATAGTTGAATCAGTAAGTGTCAGTGGATATCCGAAGGACAAAATAAAATTGGGAGTATACTAATTAGTCTCTGGAGACTGACCAGTTGTATATTATGAAGTCATGAGTAGAGACCGAATTCTATTGGTTGAGATTTTCAGAGTTCAGTTTTAAACAGTCAATTTTTGGATGTATTATGGAGATAAATTGATTTTTCGACAACACATGTCTTAGAAAAATCAAAGTAATAGTTATAAGTTCATTACTGTAAACAATTTTAAGCATTTTGTCAACAAACTGAACTATGAACTCTTTAAAAGTATCATCACTGAATTAAATGTATATTATGGTTATCATAATGACAAATTCTGAGATGAATGGGGATTTTTAATTTAGAAGTAGTATTCATCATGGACTGACATAAGTTGGGGAATCATTGAAAATCTAGGAGCATTGGACAGCGGTGGGATCAACCACTCAGAAGTGAAGTGGATGCTAACGGAAGATCTTGAGTGGTAGTCAGGCTATGTCGTGAATTGACAGAAGTAGGAAATTGTGAACCACTGGAAACCAACCCAGTAGTTGAATGGTTGACGCTTCGCCGTGGAATCTGAAGGTCCTGAGTTCCATCCCTAGCTGGTTCGTGAGTGCGTACTCCTGAGGAGTGTTATACTAGGACGAAACAGCTGTCCAGTGCTCCCATATTTTCAATGGTTCCTCCAACTGATGTCAGTCCATGATGAATATTACTTCTAAATGACAAATTCATTATTCATGACATACGTTTGAACAGAAATGAACTGCTAAGGAGAATCAATGAAGTACATCCTCCATTTATTTGCAGTTTAAAAGAAGACCATGAGAATATTGTGGTTTTTTGTCTAATGCGAGAGATTTTGCTTCACTCATCTAGAAGTGTATGCATAAAGATTATATGCACAGATCATAACAGATACTCCTAGTTTCTTATCCATACACAGACTTAACTTAATTTTTTCCACTGACGAAATATATCCGTTTATTTATGAATAAGAAGATATGTATCAGCTAAGAAGAAATATTTCTTTCAACAACTTAACTGATAAGCTATACAGTCGTATTAATAATCGGTAAAATGACAGATAATTGCACTAAAAAGTTACTCAGTCAATATACAAAGTACACAAATAGTGTTAATGGTGAGATTTGTTCATGTGGAAGAAATAGAAAATGGGTCACTGAATAAACAATGAAATGATAACAAGTGGTGACATAAGAGACAAGTGTTGTCAAAGAATTGTAAAACGGTGATAATTAAGCTGAAACATGCAAATGAGTCAGTGAATAAGGAGTGAATTGATATTAAATAGTGAAATATGGGTCAAATGTTGTCAATGAAGTGAAAAATTGGTGATAATGATGATAATAAAAGAGAAATATATCAAAGTGAAATGAAATTGAAAAAAATCAACAAAATGAATTGTTGAGGCCAAGATAGAAAAAGTGGTTTCACAAAACGTTTCTCAATGTAAAGTTTCCATTTTTGTTCATATATAGCTTGTAACTTCAGCTATACATAAGTGGTAGAAACACAGACCTTTGGAGCAGTTCAATTCAACTTTGTAAATTACCTTAAGGGTTGAATCTCGAGGAACTGAGTGACCTAACTCTACTAGGTGTTCACATATAAAAAAAGTTGTTTTCTTCCTCTTGCCTTTGGTAAGCCAAACTGGGTAATGTTCAGCAATGCGTTTTCGGAGGACCCGCTTACAACTCCCAACTTTTTCAGCTCCACAGGAGCCTGTGAATTGGTGGTAGCCTCTCCTTCATGCATTGTCTAATCAGAAGGCGGCTGGAGAAAATCACTCTCAGTCTAGCAACATAAAAGCTACTATTGATACATTCTGACAGACGGTTTTTAAGCACTTCAGCTGTGGTGTCTCCTTTGAATTCCAGATTCATGGTTAGGATTTTCTTAGGAACTGTAATAGGATGAGGGGTGATTTGCTTCTTCATGTTTTTATCAATAAATCTTTTAGGGTGTCTGTTATACGACAGTTTTGTCCTAAGAGTTTCCATTTTAATGTCCTCCGTGTCCTCTCAACAGATTTTATGTATTCTGGAACACAGGGAGTGAATGAGATTTCTTTTACAACTGAGAGGCACCGAACTATTAAAGTTCGTGAACCGGTCAATCTAAGTTGGTCTACGATTGACTGACGTTTGAATCTAGCCATCATCTCTTCTCTTCAACATTACGCCTAGAATGTGGAACGTTGAACTTAACTCTTCTTCTACGGTGAATTTAATAGACAGGTGACAATCCTTGAGACGTGTTAGCAGCTCTTCCACCGAAGCTGTTTCGTCACAAATAAGAAAAGTATCGTCGATGTACCATCTATATAGATAAAGTTCCGAGATTATTTCCTTAAGGGGCTCATTTATAAGCTTTGCCATGAAGATATGAGCCAGGACAGAGGTACCGAATTCCTTCCAAATAGAGCGGCTAGAATATACACTGATGGCTTAGTACACGAAGACTTCGAGTAAATGCATAAGACACTGACTGAAGTGGGCTAACCTAGTGTTTTTCGAAATAGCAAATTTAAGAAATGCCTTCACCATTTGCTGCTCAAAACAGACCAGTGTTCAATCCATTTGGAATATAACCAGCGCACTTATGTACCAGAGACTGTCTGCAATCACTAGGACGCGGTTTACACTGCCAAACTCTACTTTTCATATTTCAATCAACTGAGATATGTTGGTCAAATGAAACACTAATTAGCCAACTTATTTGTTTCAACGTTTGTTCATAATTTTAGTCGTTTCTTTGTATAAATCTAATTATGACTTATCATTAGGTAAATTCAGAGATGTATTACTAAGCATTCACATTAGTAGTTGGAAAAGAGACGGGTAAAATTTATCAGAAAGTCATTCTTGTCACATAAAGATGTCAACTTCAGGTTATAATACCGTCACCATTTTAATCGATTGCTCAATCGTTAAATTTTTATCAAAGTAAAGCTTAGTTAAGCTTTATGATCTTGTGGTTAGATTTTGTTGACTCTAGGAGACGTGTATCAATGTTCACTGTAAAAATGATTTTGTTGAATGGCCACTTCTACTCTTGATGTCAAGTTTTATATGATAAAGCGATACAATAAATCTTTCTGACGTCAACATAGGGTGTTTACTGTTGACATCGTACTTCATTATTGACTAATCTAATGAGTTTTCTCTAATTTGAGAAATACGTTTTTCCCTCCTATCTTCTTGTCGCTATATCACTTTTTTTTTACCAGACACGCATAGATTCTTGTGAAATGTTTACTGCATTTCGAACCTCATACGAAAACTGACTTACTTTTTAATGCCTACAAGTTTGTTGAGCTATTGATATAGTAAAGTTACTTTACTTAAAATATAGAAAGGAGTTAATATGATGAGAAATCGAAAATTGCTTAGAAATGAAGCAAAGACAAGATTTAAATGAGATATTACCCCTTATCTTTACAATGAACTGTCTCTCCTGCTAAATTACACAGTGGTATTCATTATAAAGACACTGTTTTCATTGTCTTTAATTTTGAAGCATATCTGATAACTTCTTCACAATGTGATTCCCAGAGGGAATTAGTAATGCATATGCATGAGTAACCCAGTCGAATTATACTACTACCCATATTTGGCTTGGATTTCATATCCATCTCATATTTCAGATCATTTCTTTAGGGACTTTATTCATCAATAAAGCATAAGTCAGCGGTACAAACTGCGAACCATGAGTATTAGAAGACTTCCAGTATCAATCACTAGTTGAATGTTCATTGTGACAGTAGTTGTCTTTGGCAATGCATGTTCGATTTAAAGGTTAGATTCGATCTGGTTACGTCATTATCTCCAAAACTTAAGTCAAAGTAACTTGTGAACTCTAACTTCAACTCGGTTACCTGGGAAGTATTTGTTTTTTGTATTGGGTTAAAAGTCGTCCATACGGAATATAACATCTGAAATAACCTCCCATACTAGAACGAATAAAGATGAGATACAATTAAACAGAATTTTCAAATCTTGTATTCAGACAAATTTGGAGTCATAGTTACCAAATTAATATATGTGACAGCTTAGCTACAGTTTCAAACATAGATCTGTTTGAAGTTGTCCAGCTTAACAGGAAACCAGGGAGCACTGGACGGTTGTTTTGTCTCAGTACTCGACTGCTTAATAGTGCGTACCTATGACCCCACCTGCCAAAGGTCGAACCCAAGACCTTCAGGTTTCATAACAACCACACTACCATTGAACCACTAAGTAACCAATTCGGCCAGAAACTCAAAATTGCTGCTGTCGAGAGCGGTCGATAACCCGATTTTAAGTCTAGCTAACCATCCATCTCTGTCTCTCTCTCTGTTTGAAGTTTTATCACCTTGATTGAATCGCCTTCGACCATCTACTGTGCATTGAAGTAACTCCATTGATGCTCAAGTAATCAAGGGAAAGTGTTAACTACACCCATCTTTGTAAAAGTTTTATTCATCAACATTACCACAGTATTATTTCCTCAGATTGAAGCTACTGCTTTAAATCTGGAGTTACTTCAGGTTTCCTATCAGTTATGCTCGTAATGGTTGTACACATACAGTTTAGTAATCCCTGTTTCTCAATAAAAACGTATGCAGTGCATATCGTATGATGATTACCAACTAATAATCTCTGGTATAGATTTTTGAATAAATGAAACAAATGATTACATTTATACACTTCATAAACTTGTCAAAATTCCATTAGTGATATTTCAGTGGAAGCTTTTCGTTCATTACTACTCTATAGTCAGTGAGAACGATTAGAGAATTGAACTACATAACATTAGGATGGTTGGTGTTACACTTACTGACCAATGTTTTGCTTTATTTGATTTCATAAGGTAAATATTCCAAGTACGAGTCTCACTTTTCAGAAATATAAAGGTATCATCCATTTAACGACCCTACATTTCCAACCAAGTGATCGTTTCTTTCAGAGGATCATTCTCTAGTTCTACCAGAAAAAAAACAGCTGCTAAGACTAGACCAACTGGTACCTTTATAGCTACATAATTCGATTACCTGTATAACTTGTTGTGTTAGTAGTTCTTTCAAGGTGAAAATGGAAATACCTGTTTTTACACCATGCTTAAAATAAAGTCCACTGTTTCCATTGAAGGAAAGTTTGCAGTAATCATCTTTTAAACAAATTCAAGAGCATACTTTTAGCACTGTTTTACAAATTCTTTGTGGACTTCTTCGACCAAACCAACCCCCATGTGATCACATCAGTCGTTGGAATTACTTCTGCATATTCATTACAAATATTCTTACTATGAATTTTTGGTTGGTATATGTTGTAGAAAAAGCTGTAAATAATTCTTCCCAGTGTTGAAACCTTTGGTCATCCAAAGTATATTTTGATTTGCCGTCTAAATGTGAAGTATATTGAGGTCAATACGGATTTCGTTCTTAGAGTAGTATTCATCATGAATTGACATCAATTTGAAAACTATGGAAAACCTGGGATTACTGGACGGGTGTTTCATCCTAAAATGGGTCTTTTTGAAAAGCACTCACCAAAGTCCCATCAGAGGTGGAACTCATTACCTTCAAATTTCATTGTAAAGAGGTTAACTATTTGGTACATACCTGTGACTTGTGTGATCAACCAGTAGGAAGTGAAACAGATGTCAGTTGAAGACTTTGCTGGATAGTCACGCTACATTTAAATTGACAAAAGTAGCAAACTGTGGATCAGTGAAAACCGACCCAGTGGGTCAATGGCAACGTCTTCGCCGTGAAACCTGAAGGTGCTGAGTTAGATCTTCGGCTAAGTCGTAAGTGTTTATGAGAGCTAGGTGAAATAACCTAAGAATAATAATATGAGGAATAATAGCGTGATAGAACGTTACTCTTGTTGAGAGTACAAAATAGGTTCAGATAATTTGTTAAAAATATTTCACATTATAAGGGTGAATAGAATGTCTACAGTAGGGAGTGAGAAAATTAGATTACCTTGAGTAGAAAGCTAAGGAATTTATGCTTCCCGAATTGGGCCATGGTAGTTGTGGCGGTAACACTCACTTTCTTTGAATACACAACTTCGATTGTTTGATCCTGATTGCTACTGCTTATGCAGTCCGAAGGATTTTCGGCTGGATATTTTTTGGAAAGTTGATGGGAACTCGGTGAAGAATGGAAAATGATTTATTCATATACACCTTATGGTTCGTTTCAACTAAGTGTTCTAATAAAAGCTGATAATGGTCTTTACCACACTCTAGGAAATGTTCCATGGGAATAGCACGGGAAATTAAATTCCTAGAGTAGCAGCCCAACTTAAATAACTTTCTATCGAGCTACTATTCCTCGAATTATCCTTCTTAGTTTATTTCCTCTAGCTGTCATAAACACCTTTTTATTACTGTATCAAACTATCTCCTTATAGTATTACATACGCCGTATAAACATTCATATAATCAACGATTTCGAACTGAATTCCAGCAACAATTCATTCCGTGGCATGCTTGAATATCTTCCATCTGACATATTACATCAAATTTTTCTATACGTTTGTTCATTTTAATCATTCTATTATGTCCTCTGATCACATTATATAGTATATACATTTTTAAAAAATTTACGGTCTTCTGCGATCTCAGCATCTAACAAGATGAGGAAAAAGCATCAAGGTGGATGGCGATGTGCTCTGAAGTGAACAGGCTTATGTCAAATGACTCTGCCTGAAATTATTAGTACGAACTGTAGGTCACTGTAGGGAAAAGTGGATTACTTGCAATCTCCTATATCCTCCGATATATACCATAATACTGCAGCAGTTATACTGCATAAAAATTGGTTACATGAAATTAGTAATGGCAATTTGATTTCTCTGAATGGTTTCAAAATTTTCCTTCAAGATCTATGTAGCTTTACTAAGATGAGAAGGGGTGGTGTAGCTGCCTTCATCAATACCCATCAATACATAAGCTTCGAATTCTTAAATGATTACATAGATTGCATCACTGTTAAGTGCCACCCAAAACATTTGAACAAATATCGCTTTATTTATAAAACAAATATCTATGTGATGCCTGGTTGCAGTTTCTCGAACTATCCAAATTCTCTGATATATTCACGGAATTCGCAGCCACCATACTCTGTGGTTCCCTGTCGATAATATGTAGTGATTTCAATTCTTGTGACCAAAGCTTTCTCAAAACTCTTAGTCATTAAAACATTGTTAACTTCATAACTCATCAGAATACAACACTAGACTTAGTATTTATCAACGATATTGATATATATGAATCTCGAAAGAGATACCCACTGCTCAGATCAGATCATTGCATTATGCGTGTTTTGCCCAAAATATGTGGAAAACTACACAAAACAGCCTTCACATATAAAAAACTGTATATAGCAACTATTCATATATGAACATATTTAATCTAAGAGAAATACTACAATCTACAGACTAGAATACATTTGACAGCGATGCTTTGAACGACACTACTAAAAGTGTGATATGCTGTCTCAAGTTCTGCCTGGATCTATGTAGCCCAAATGAAAAGCTTTCTCTACGCTTCTATCGTGTATCTTCTCCTCAGCTTAAGAAACTAAGAAGAGAAAAAGAAAGACTATATAAAGTAAGTGATAATGATGGTGCTCGTTGATTGAATGTTTTAATTAGGTAGAAATTAAACGTCTGAGTCTACATTACAACCAGAAACGTTCGTCATGCAGAGGCTCTTCCAGTATATGGAAACTGTTTATAGACCTCACTGGAAGTAAACACCTTATTAAAGAAGCACATATAGACGTCTGTGGTTTGAACGAATCGTTTGCACGTCAAACCACCTCACCCATCCCACTTTATCAACATATGTCCAATGAAGAATGTTATCCAGAGTTGACTGCGAAAGATGTTTTCAAATGTATCAAATCCCAAACCCTTTCCACAGTTCAGGTCCGGACGGTATGTCAAGCTTTGCATTCATGAAGCATGTTGACGTTTCATGCCATCTATTAGCTAACATGTTCAATAGACCGTTTTTAGTAAAACACCATACCAGCTGCCTGAAAAGATATTAAAATAGGCCCCCTACCTAAGTCAGGGACTCCAGGAGCAAATCCAAAATTCCGTCCGATTATGGTTACCTCTTGGTTGTTGAAAATAATGGGAAATTAATAATATCTGCACTCCAAACCTCAATGAAGGCTTTCGGAGACCCGAATCAATTTGCACGCAAAAGCAGAAGAAGCACCTTGGATGCCACCACTCTCTTATATCACAATATTGTTTATAGTCTTGATAAAAATGCCAAGTATGTCAGGTGTGCCTTTCTAGACAATACTTCGGCATTTGATTCTGTCCCAAGACCTCTTTTACCGGACAAGCTAACTGGGACTAATACTGAGTTCTGGATAATCAGCTGGCTGTAGTCCTATATCTCTGATAGGAAACAACATACTATTAACAGAGAGAAGCGCTGCACCTCACCACTTACTGTGACTGGTGTTCCCCAAGGAGCTATGCTTTCCGCCTCTCTTTCCCGTTTCGTTCTGCATGACTGATCAGTTTCATCAAATATGCAGATGAACTTACAGTTTCCATACCTATCTCCTCTTCAGCAGATTTTTCCCAATTGAATGATTTCCTATCGACTGTTAGACTATGATCCTCCGAGGATGGTCTTATGCTAAATTCTTCTGAATTTCAGACTATAAACTTTAATTTTAGATGTGAACATAACCTATGTAAACTGCTTAGTTCTCACGTTTCCTGTTCTATTGGTAGTTGTGTATTAGAGAATGTTACAAATGTGATTTATCTTGGTGTGTTTTTCTTCGGACCTTTCCTGGTCCTCCCATTTCTTATGAATTTCCAAAGGAAATTTCAGCCTAACTTTCTACATTAGGGAGCTGAGAGCATCTGGTATAACTCAGCCTCTTCTCTTGTGTTTTACAAACTCCTGCATCCTGCCCGTTCTCCTCTATTGTTCTCTTTTATTTCTCCTCTGGCAGCTGAAAAAAGACTGTTATATTGCAAAGAACTTTGAAGATTTTCAGCAGAACTAGTGGTGTACCCATAAACCTTCTAGTTAAAACTGTTGTGGAAAAAATATTAGCTCATGTAGACATCTGATAGGAGTTATTTTATCAGATGACCAACATCCTTTTCACTCATAGCTTTCTGTGTGTCGGTCATCTGGAAAGACAAGGAGCAAGTACATAAGACTTCATGCACGCACCATAAACTATAAGAACTCTACGATACCGTATTTAGCTCGTTTGCTGTGTGATGAAGAAAGTATTAAAAATGAGCTGACTAATCAACTTCTATTTTTGTAAACAAACTAGCTGAAGATGAGTGTGTTACTCTTTACGTATTATAAATCTAATTCCCAACGTGACTGCCTACCTAAATTGATTGTGCATTTTGAAGAAAGTTGTAGATAGAGAGAATATTTTTATTTCTTAATATAATTTCCACCTATTTCATTTTGCTATGTATGCATGTAATACAATGTTTCTATCCAACTGATGGTATACGACGTGATGAAAATTCTGTAGAGTATTCCCGAAATAGCTTTCAGAATAAAGCCATTATTATTATTATTACTATCATTATTATTATTATTATTATATCACATTAACGTTCACGCAAGACTTTCTTGATTTTACTTCCTCAACTGTATAATATTACTGACAAAGTAATAAGTGAAATCTCAATATTGTTGGTACGTAGTTCCTCAATATATTATATTATTATTATTTGTCCCTTGGGTTCCTAATAAAACATAGGGCTTCAGTAACACGTCTCCAATGCGCTCTGTTCTCTGCAAACCTTATGAACCTGACTCCATCACAACCCACAAGCTCTCATTTCTTCCTC